CGGCAGAGCCCCCCTGGGATGGGACAGGGGGACCAAGAGGCACCCCCAGGTAGGGGACGGGGGATGCCCCCAGGTAGGGGATTGGGGACACCCCCAGGTAGGGGACGGGGGGCTCCCAGGCTGGGGGGGACACGGTGGGGCCACCGCCACTCAGGGGACAGGGGGCTGTGGGGCTACCCGGTGGGGGACAAGGGACTGCGGGGGGCTGCAAGGCCACCCCCTAGGTAAGGGACAAGGGGACAGCGAGGCCGCTCGGGGAAGGGACAAGGGGACACCAAGGGCTGCATCCCCCCACCCCGTCCCTTCTCCCTTGGGCACCCTCAAAGCACTCTCCAAGAGGTCCCCAGGGCTGGGCACAGTTGTGGCAGGGCCATGTCCCATCCCAATTTTGGGGGACATGCGGGGGTGCCCCATAAGCGGCCCCGTCCCCATCGGTCCCACCTGGGCTCCCACCCCTGGAGACTGCGGGGAGCGATGCTTGCAGCAAACCGGGGGGACCCTTCCCAGCGGGGCCTTGGCCATCGGGCGCGGCCCCCCCGAGAGGGGGGGGGGCCGGGGGGGGGGGGGGGGAACCCCTAAAAAAAGGGGGAGAGTGAACCCCATGAAAGCACCCCTCAGGCCTCGACCACCCCAGCGGCCCCCGGCTGCGGGGGATCCAGGGGGTCCCGCGATGGGGCCGTCGGGATCCCGTCAGCCCCGGCACAAAGAGGAATGCGATGAGCACATGGTTCCCATTAGCCCTGCAGATTATTTTTTTTTTTCTTTTTCGGGTTGTTTTTTTATGATTACTACTTTTTTTTTTTTCCTCCCCTATTTTCTGCAGCACGGCCGGGGAAGAGGAAAACCGGCGGCTCCCGCAGGCGAGGATTCGAGCGGCCAGGCGAAGGGTGGCCGGGGCCGGAGCCCGTTTGGGGTTTTGCCGGCGGGGAGGGAGGGAAGGAGGGAGCGAAGCCGCTTGGGGGTTTTTTTTTTTATTTTTTTTCTTTTTAATCCCTTCCTCTGCTTGAGTCAGAGGCTGAAGTCACCAACGTGCACATCCCGAAGCTTTTTCCTCCGTCACGGGGGGACCGGCCGCCCCCCGAAAGGATGCACCCGCATCCGTGAGTGGGATTTTGGGGGAGTGGAGCTGCCTTGCGCCGGGGCATGAGACCGGGCAACTCATCGCACAGGTATTTTTCAGGCTGCCAATTCATCTCGGGGATGAATCCCACTTCACCGGTGCGGTGCCCCGGCTGAAGCCTCAGGGTTCCTCCCCCCAAACCATCCCGTTTGGGAAGGGGAAGCTTCGCCCCGGCTGCTTTTCCCGTTGGGAAGCTGAATAAACAGCCCTTTTCCTTCCCGAGCGGGGTTTATCGGGGTCGGGCGCATCCTGCCTGCACCGCCGGGCGATGCTCGGGGGCCGTTGCGGTGACGGGGACGCGGCGATTTGCGGTATCGTGCCTCGGTTTCCCCATTTGCAAAAATAAAAAGGGGGGGATGCCCTGAGCTGGAAGTGAGTAGTGGGGAAACAGGGAGGGAACGGGGAGCCAGGGGACCTAGAAACACCCCAAAAAAAGGGTTTGCAAAAGCAGATCCTACTGTAACCCCATTTTTAAGAGGAAAGGTGGGTTTTTTCCTGCTGCTCACAGTGAGTTTAATCCCAGGTGGGGGCAATAAGAGGAAATAAAGGGGGTTAAAACATTTATAAAGGGGCGGGGTTTGGCCACAGAGGCAGGAAAAAGGGGGATTTTGGATGCTGCTTCACCGGGACCCTTTACCCTGTGTCCTCCCAGGCACGAGGCCATTTATTGCTGTGACGTGGGACGGGGACGCTCGTTCCTTCTCCCTTTCCGGGAGGGCGAGGAGGGAGGCGGGTTGAGGCCGAAGGGCGGCGCGGCTGTGGGAGCTGCCAGTGCACTCACGGGTTTTGCTCTCTTTTATCTTATTTTCCCCCAAATCAAACCCAGGTCCGGCCCTTCTGCAGCTTCCGCGATGCTGCCGGGGAAAGCGGAGAAGAGGATCGCCTCGTCCATCTTCATCACCCTGGTGCCGCCGCAGAGGGAGGCGGCCACCAAGGAGAAAACCCAAAGGGAGACGCGGCCAGATGGTGCCGAGATCCCGGGCACCCGTCACCCCCGGACCCCACCGCCGCGGACCCCCGCGTTGCCCAACGGAGGTGAGGGGTGTCCGTGGGGGGCTGCGAGTGGTGCCGGGAGGATGACGGTGGTGCCGGGAGGATGATGATGGTGCCAAGGATGCTGCTTTGCTAAAGGATGCGCGTGCAGGCAGGAGGGGATGTGGGTTTTTGGGGGGGGGGTTATTCCCCAAATCCCCACACCCATCCCGGGATGGATCCGGATGCCGGGGAAGGGCTGTGTTTGCTCTCCATCGCCGGGCGCTTATCGGTGCTGTTTGACCCCTCTGGCTGGGACGGCGTTTACTTTTGGGGCAGGTCGGCGAGCGCTGCTGCAAAGCTGTCGGGGCGTTATTGGGCGTTGTTGCCCCCCTAAACCCACCGTGTCTGGCTTTCGCCCCAGAAACCCGCCCAGCGGCCCCCGTGCCTTCATCCCCACCGGTCCTCGTCCTCTCCGAAGCGCCCCAGCCCTTGTCTGTGGAGGCGCTGGGTCCAGCGCTGCAGCAACTGGACCTGGCGGCACCCGCCACCCTGCAGGTGAGGATGATAGGGTGCAATTGCCCCAGTGCCTCAGTTTCCCCACCTGCAAGAGCATAAATGTAACGTGGCTTCGCCTTCCCCCGCTCACCAGGCCCCTTCTGCCTTCCCTGCCGAATTGAGGCCGCCCAAATTTTGCCAGGAGCAAGCAGGCAAGCCGCAGTGGCAGGATGCGAATGGGTACCCGGAGAGGGACGGCTCCAGAGGTAAGAAGGGGACCCAGCTGCGCAGCGCAGGCTTGTCCCCAGTTGGGGAAATGGAGGCACGCAGCACCGAAGCCCTCTCTTGTCTTCCCGCAGACATCTGCGCCTTCTGCCACAAAGCGGTGGGGCCGCGGGAGCCGACGGTGGAGGCGATGCGGAAGCAGTACCACGCCGACTGCTTCACCTGCCGGACCTGCCACCGGCTCCCGGCCGGGCAGCGCCCCTACCCAAAAGAACGGCCCCC